CACACACACACACACACACACACACACACACACACACACACACACACACACAAGGCGCCGGAAGATTCGATCGATTTTGGTCATCCTTTCAATGGAAATTGAGCGAGGCCATGGAGACTTAGCCGCACACACACACACACACACACACATACACACACACACACATATATTTCGAGGATTCGATGATGGATTCGTTGAGAGTCGACACTCTTCCGCCACAGTGGTGATTTAGATTCTTATGGTTGATTCTCTCTCTCTATACACACATATTTTGAAGGCCCGATGATGGATTCGTTGAGAGTCGACACTCTTCCAGCGCATCTGGTGAGAGCTCGCGTGAGTAGCGTATGCATGCATGTATGCATCCACAGTTCACAGTCTGACTCAGCATGGATCGCGCGGGGTGATGAAGCAAGAGCCAACGTCCAAAGACAGCATGCATGCACAGTTCACGCTCAGTAGTTGAGTGATGTCCTCCCTTCCCGCGGAAGTGACAGGGGGGGGGAAGATGAAGAGAGGGAAAGAGAGGAGTTGGAGAATAGTATCAAGGAAAGCGAACAAAAAGAAGAAGAGGATGATGATGATGCTGACGATGGCGATCGTGAGAAGGGCGAGACGGAAAAAGACGACAGCGACGGGCAGGGACGGGCGGAGAAAGAAAAGATCGGGGAAAAACGGCAGCAGGGAGAAGAGTGGGAAGGGGAGCGACTGGAGCTGGGGGAGATGGGAGGTGGAGTAAGGTCCAAGAGTCGTCGATGGGCGAGGGGAAAGAGCGCCCGCCTTGGTTCTTTGTGAACTGATATTGATCGAGATGCTTTCACACAACGAGATCGGGAAGGGGAAAGCACAGGAGGAGAAGGAGAAGGAGCAGGAGGAAGAGAAGGAGGAGCAAAAGGAGGACGATGAGGAGATGAGGAAGGGGAAAGGGCGACAGGTGAGGGATCTAAACAAACAGCGGAAGGGGGCAAAGGAGGAAGTGGAGTGGGAGAAAGAGCGGCAGGAAGAACACGGGGGTACAGGCGCGGTCGCGCGACTGCTGCTGCTGACGTGGCGATCGTCAGGGGTCTCGCTGGTGGTTATGGGTTTCGTCACGCACCGCGCGATCTTGCTAGCGTGACGGGTCACGACGCCAGGCCCGCTCTACTGGATTCTGCCACGTGTCACCCGATTGCTGCTATTTGTAATCTAGACCCGAGTTCAAATCCACATGCTGTCGGATGAACAGAACTTTTATTGTTGGCGGTTTTTTTTTTCCCCGGAATTTTCATAGGTGCTGCTGTTTTATTTTTTTTCCCAATTGTGAATTGCCTGGGGCCTGTCAGTCCAAAACGATGAAATATATATATATATATATATCGTCACAAATAGAACTGCCCGGTAAACCGTAGGCAGAGAGAGAGAAGAGGACAACCAACGAGGGGTTGTGACAAACTGTTTCGTCGGAGTTTCACTGACTCATCAAGAGGCTGAACCCTCAATAGTCTGTAGAATCCCCTCATTGATTACACTGTAAATAATAATCTACCTTAACCAAAATCAAAGAAGACTATCACTCACCCACACCAGATGAAAAACTCTACAGACTGTCGGTTCACACCCCATCACAAGCCAGCAAAACATCCACGAAACAAAGAAAGG